TTGGGCATGAACTCATCCCTAACGAAAGTATAGCTGACAACGTGCGTACGCAGCCACTGAATCGACTCGCCTTCTTCCACGAAGGTTGCTTCTTCACCCAATCGCGATACATATCGTTGGAGACTATAACAGCATCCTTCTTATGAGCATACTGTAGACAATAGGAATCATCATAATCCTGAAATAAAAAACTTTCTGAGCTCTGAGCACGCGAGAGAGATCTCACCTTAGACGGGGTCAGTGCCAGTCGTCCCTGAGTCTGTAGCTTAAGTAGAACACCGATGTTATCTACTGGTATGTGGGTTGGCGCCGCCTTGATGCCGTGCATCGTTTGAACTCTCATCTTCTGTGCATTACGAAGCTTAAATAGCTCATTGCGATTGACCAGATAGTCCGGAAGGAATACCAAAACCTGCGGAGAAACAAGAAGTCTGATGTTACCTCAACAGGTGATTGGCTGTAGGCTCACCTCATGGCCTCTAGAAACGTAATAGTCGACGCATATCTGCAACCCTTTACATGTGAACTGCTGTCCACCATGTCTGTTAGCCACATTAGGCCCATCGATCAGCACAAGCGGTTTATAATCCGCCTTTGACGCCATCTCATCTCTACCGTGAGCGTGACAGCGCACCCTCGCAGTGTTTCTATCCACAGAGTCTCCCAACAACAGGTTTCCCTGGCATAAGAGCAAATGCGTTGTGGTATGTACGACCCTTCCCCAGCTCACCCATCTATCAGCACGGCGTCCACTCCCTGAGGAACTCTGGTCGAGGACTGGTCTCGACCGTCCAAGATTTTCTTGTTGGTCGCTTGCAGTCTTCTTACCATTACTATTCTCTAACTGGTTCTTAACCGTCGGCTCATAGGTTTTCTTCAGATTAACTTCTTTCGGAATCGATAACACACCACGAGCCCTAGGCTTCGTAGAGATGTGTAGACAAATTTCAACAAGTCGACTCGCCATAGTAGCGCTAGGATTCCTACTGAGCTTAGCAGGCTGCATGCTCTTGCTGAAAATATCCGTCTCCACAGCAGAGGCCCAAGGTTCCTCTGCCGCACTGACCGCGTATTCAGCACAGTGAGCCTTCACGATCCCATCGACGTCCGCGTCACCATGCCAATGTGAGCCCATGAATTGGAGACAGAGCAGTAGAGAGCACCATAGGGCGGAGTTCGAGAGACGACTAGCCTCTATAGCAGGCTCCAGCGCCAATGCTTCTCCTATTGACAAGATCAGCGACTTCACCCGCCCACGTTCCTCCTCCGTAACCGACAATGTGAATGCCGCGATCAACAACACCAACCAATGCCAAGTCCCCGGAGACGCCCGCGCGGGCTCATCCACCATTACCAAACCGGC